GAACCTAGTCCTTACTTTCATACCCCGATTTTTACAAATCCATCTCCTACCTATGCCTAGGTCTTTCAGAATTGTTCTTCTTCCTCTTAAGGTTTTTTTGACAAAAATATATTCATTGATCATCTCTCAATAGGAACAATGTATCTAACTTGTGTTTTGTTTCGGAAAAGAAAATATTCCTGAAATTTTTCTACACATATATGCGCACACATGCATGCACACAGTTACTTTAAGGAATTTCCCAGCATTTTATGGAACTCAAAGGTTCAATACCGTGTTCACAAGAGCCATCCACTGGTCCCTATCCTCAGCCAGATCAATCCAATCTATACCATCTCATCCTATCTCTCTAAGATCCATTTTAATATCGTCCATCCACTTATGCCTTGGTCTTCCCAGTGGTCTCTTTCCTTCTGGCTTTTCCACCAACATCCTATATGCATTCCTCTTCTCCCCCATTCATGCTACATGCCCTCCACCTCATCCTCCTTGACTTGATAATTCTAATTATACTTGGAGAAGAGTACAAGTTATGAAGCTCCTCATTATGCAGTTTTATCTGACCTCGTCACTTCATCCCTCTTCGGTCCAAATATTCTCCTCAACACCCTGTTCTCAAACACCCTCAGTCTATGTTCCTTCCTTAATGACAGAGACCAAGTTTCACACCCGTACAGAACCACAGGCAAAATTATAGTTCTGTATATTCTAATTTTTATGTTTTTGGGCAGCAGACGAGAAGACAAAATGTTCTGGACTGAATGGTAGCAAGCTTTACCCGAGTTCAATCTCCTCTTAATTTCCTTCTCAATCAGTTACTTTAAGGAGCACATTTAAAACAGTTATGAAATCTTTATTTTGTAAATTCTAAAGTTATATTCCTAGGACAGGGCCTGTAACAACATTTTGAGGCTTAGATTGTGTTCAGTCTTAATTATACTTTGCAATACTTCTATTCAAAGAGTTCTTATTTTGTATATATGTCATTAACATAATGTTCTTTCTCTTTGCAATTAACATACATCTTTTCACAGAAAGCAGCATTTCAAGCCATTTTCAGTCAACATAACCCCAATACACCCTCCTTCGTGGCAAGAAAAAAATTGCTGTTATAGAGCTACACTCCCCCATTCCCTATTAAGTCACTATGGATAGTAATACCATAAACAGAGCCTGAAGACATTAGTGAAATATTAGAGCCAGAATATGATGCCTAAGATCATGGAAAACAAAGGTGCTACCTCATGCTGTAACTAAGGTATCTCACTGGTTAGCCATTCCAACACTGCACACACTTTCCCTCCATGAAATTTGTCAGATAATTTATAGTTTCTGGATTTATTTTTAACAAATGTTGAATTAGCTGCATAAGTCATTCCATGAGAATTCATGTAAGTATATTTAATACATTACAAGAAGTTCTGGAAGAACTAATCGCCCAATTTCCTTTCACTACATACTGAGTATTTGATATGGCATGGACCACAAAGACATCACTGCATCCAACATAACTTTCATTGCTGCATGTGTATTCATTGCTGTGGGAAAAGTGTTTATCTAGCCGCTGTCTAGCAAATGTTAGGGAGTGGACACACAGACATACGGAGGGCAAGGTTATCTCATAAGCTTCCTTTACTTTTTAAAAATAAGGAAATTAGGCTAAAAACATACAGCATGCGTCTGTTCTACCAAATCTGGTCTACATTGTTTTAAAGAGCAGTTTTCATTTTATTCAGAAAACTTCCCATTTATATGAAACAATAGGAGGATATTGCATTTACTGATACATTGGTGCCATATTTTCATACTATTTCATACTCTTGCATTACTCATATTTCACGTTTCCAAATTCAAGGACTGATAGTAACTTTTTGGGAAAAACATCTCTTCAGTATGGAATTATGAAGAAATTCCTAGAAGTGTATACAAGATCTATGAAATAAGTTGTTGAAATTACATAAACCACAGATGCGTGGTGCAATATTTGATTAATTTTCTTGCAAGAGGAAGGAGCCTGCAATGGAGAGACACCATCTAGAAAAAAACAATCTCTAATTCTTTGTCTCTGAATAACAGTTTTGCTGAATATCACAGTAAAATGAGTACCACTTCTGTTCCATATCTGTGAGGTCCTAGTTCCAAATCTTGGCCCAAAAACTGGCTATACCGATTAAGGGTTTATTTTTTTGGTCCCTCTAGACAATGCTGGAATAGGACCTCAAATCAGACCATGGCTGCTTCCTTCCATATAATTTCCAATTAATTGTTCACCAAACATCCAACCACTCCAATATGTATTCTGAGATAATGACAGTGTCGTTAAATAAAGCATACACAAATGACCATTCTAATTTTGTGAGTCACATTCCCTTCATTTGTTTTTGGAGACATCATTCACAACACATGGTCAAAACTTCACCCTTCCAAGAGAATTCACATACACTATAAATTTTGTACATAGTGGAATAAAAAGTGGAAGTCTTTTGATAGCTTATTCTCAACTTTAATTGCAGGTAACTCACATGTTCCTTTATTAGCTTCATAGTTTTACCAGACTCTTGCACTACAGGAGGGACTTAAAACAAGACAATTGCACGGTAAAACCGTTTTCAACTTGTTCAAGCAATCGCTCTCAATTATAATCAACATATATATACTGTAATTCTGAGTAATTTAATTATCCAGTATTTCATTTCCGATTTTCACAAATGTGAAGTCACCAATTCAATATTGAAAACCTTGACAGAATAAATGTAACACAAACAATTAAAGAATCAAACTATGTTAAGGCCCCTGGTTACCCAAGAGAAATGGACATATCCTATTAATCAGATGAAAGTTCCAATCACATATTTCTCCCTCCATAATTGAAACACATGTTAAAATAGAGTACTGCTTTAAATTAACAGCACATACTTAATAATTCTCATATTTTTGCTCCCATTTGGGCAATGAAGTATAATCTTCTTACATATAAATACTTGTCTCTCTTTTGTTGTGCCACTGTACATGAGGTGATGGTGCAAGTGCTTCAATATGAAAGAAGAGTGCATTTAATTCTGAATGTTTCAATCAATAGTGTAAATTAAGGATGCCAAAAATGTTTGAAAACTGCTACACTTGTATTCTACTGTATAGCCAAACGATCACATATATTAAATATGCCAAAAGAAGAATGAACTTAATCCTGATGTTTTGACTTTATTGAATTTTATTTCATGGGAGGCACAATTTTTGTTGAAGCAAAATTCAAGAAACTTAATTTAAAAAATGGTTTTATAATTTGTTTTAAATTACTGAGATCCTTTCATACATAACATAAGAATGCCAATTCAAAATACCATGTTAAAATATATGTCTTCCTTGTGTATGAGGAGTAAATTGTGACCCAACTTTCAAACTCAGCATTTGGACTTCATAAACAATTTTAAAAAATTCTTTCAAACAGCTGAACTGTTGAATATTCCAATGATAGGAATATACTAATATAAATTTGACTAATTAATCTGAACAAAATTCTATTTGAAGATCAAATCTAGGATAATTTTGGGCAATGATTTTCCTGTTATCCACAACTTTGGATATTTTACCTAAACATTCTAAAGCAGTTTTAAAATGTTAAAAATCAAAAGCATTTTAAATTTATATTTACATGAGCAGCATTTTCTATATTTTTAAATTGGTTCTTCCTGACATATGCTGGTATACTGGTATATCTTATTCTGGAACAGAATAATATTTGTAAACTTCCAATCAAGCAAAATTATCATAATCAATTCTGCAGCTTAGTCTACTAATCCTTTGGGTCTACTGAATGCACAACACAATATATAGATTGCTTCATTACCAGTTTTAATGAGGGAAAAAAGTAATGATTAGAACTGTAATTTCATCTGATGGGCAACTAGATTTAACTGCAATGTCAGCCATACTTCAAAATTGTTTCAATTAAAAACATGACACAAAGCTTGGGTAATCAGGATTCTGTGAGAGTTCAGGTTTTCCCATTGCTAACTATGAAAATTGCTGCCTTCCTGCGATGTGATACTATGTACTTTGGTAGACCGGTACCAGCATTTTGGAGGAGCTGACTCCATCTTCATGTCTCTTCTGACCTGAAGATGGAGGCACCACGTTCCTCCATAATATTTATACATATTTACCAAACTATACAGTGTCACATCCCACAATACAGTAATCTTCAATCAGGGTTCTTTTAAGGTTAAACATTTTAAATCTGTTTTTCTGAACAAGAGAGGAAATTAAAAACAATGCTGATGCCAGGCCTACAAGGTTTTGAACATAAGTTGGCTTCCCTTGTAACTGTTTGACCCTATGTAGATAATTTCATTTGAGTGTCCCAATAACGTTTCATACTTTGAAAGCACTTTTTATAAGTGAGAAGTTATTACAACTAAAATAAATGATTATCCTTTATACTCCTGAAATAATTATACACAGCATGCCTATAACGTACTTCTGAAAGACTGTGTGTGTGTATATGTATATACACACTCCCCACACTCACACTTTCAGCCTTAAAAATATATTTCCCAGTTTGTGGATGCCTTGGATAGTCTGTGAAATGTTCTGAAAATTCATAAGCATTTAAATTGAATTGGAGTGAATTCAGTAATCGTCTCTTGTTTATTTTGTGGCTGAGGATAGTGATGTAAAGAGAATTTTACTTGCCAACAAGATAGATTATTGTTGATGATAATGAAAAAAACAGGCAATATAACTCCTCAAAACTATATTTGATAGCTGAGGATGATGGCATGCTAGTGGGGTTGGACTAAGTCCCTTATACTGCGGCCACTTCTGGCCTAGTGTACCAGGATGATGACATACGAATAGCTTTACTTGCCAGCAAGTCGTTTTCTAGTTTTGAATGATGGCATATGGATAATTATTCTTGCCAGAAAGACAGTTTATAGCACAGGATAATGACATGCATAATTTGACTACAAGCAAGATATTTCCATGATTCTGCTGTAATCTGGATTCAATAATTGCATTATCTGTGAATTTTAACATATTTTAATCCATGAAGTAACAACACAGTATGCTTTAAAATGTTACTGGGCTATGGCCTATACTTTTATCATACAAAAACTATTACTTCCTTTCATTTTTATTTGTCTACTGTAGTTATTTCTAAAAGAAAAGTAAAATTTATGGTCTCACCATTGTATACAATACGTACTTAATTTTTTCCCATGAACCAGCTGGCATACTGATTTTTCATATCAATAAGTGATTTATATCTACAATATATATATATATATATATAGATAGTCTTTCCCAGGTAGCCGAGAATTCCTGAGACTTGTGCAGAATGAATACTTACTTCTGGCATGAACAGAACAATTTGTTCTTACAACTTAGGACCTTTCAGATACTATGAAGGAAATATGTAAATAGGGATTAGAAGATGAGGTCTTGAAGTAAAACTTGTAAATTCCTTTATGGTAAGTTACTTTCTGTGGTCTTTGAAGTAGACTGATGTTTTTGAACTCTGATACTTTGAAGCAGTGGTGCATGGTCAAAGCAGTTTCAGAGTTAGAGAATTTCATGTAATACAATGGTGGAAGTGACTGTGGTACCATTCCTTCTACGTTTCGCTTCTAAGCACAGAATATAATTGCAGTGGAAAATTTACTGAACTTACTGTAAATTGCAGCACTAAAAATATGAAAAATATTATCGTGGACACTCAAATGCTCTTAATATTACCTCCCCCCCTTTACCCAAATATGATGATTAAAGTAGCATATCACTGATGATGCACCATCATATATAATCACTTGTGCCTTATCATCAACAGCACCATCTCTGCAATGAGATTCACTTCACTGATATATTCGACACCTGGAACAAACACAGCACCAACCAACATAACCACACATTTTAATTTACTGCTATGAGGTATGGGTAGATGTTCCAACAATGGCTGCAGATTGACAGAAGAAGAACTAGAGATAGACAGAGGTAGTCTCCATCAAAACCACCAATCTCAAAATGAAAAAAGGATTTATGCTACTATCTGTTGAAACAAATTTGACAAAGACCAGTGACTGAGGCGATTTCCACCATAGAAGCAGATCCTTCTGTTGGAACATCCTCTTCTCCAAATTTGGTTCAATGTGACTTCTTCTTATTCCAAACTATTAACAAATTTGCTGAAAGGGGCACGTTTTGAGTCACTGGAGGAGGCCCAGCAGTATAAGTCATATATTCTAAATACAACATCAGAAGATACACTTCATAAAATGCTTCCAAATGTGGCAGAAAAAAATAAGTGTGTGTATAGCTCCTGAAGGAAACTACTTTGAAAGGGATAAGAGCAATTAATTTGTAAGCTGAGTTTCAATTTACAAAGTCATTTTTGAAACTTTCTAGCCACACCTCACACTTTTACCCAGATGAATATATTCACATGGAAGAGATTCAAGACCTGCTCCAAAAGGAACATAAGCACCTCTCTCTGCAGAGATCTCTGGAAGTATAGTAAAATTCTACATGAAAATGGTGAATGTAAACATTTTTGATGTCTCAAATGTTCATATTCAGGCTTGATGAGTGCCTGAAGGCATATAACAGAAAAGATGATGCTGGGTGACCTCAGAACCTCAGGACTGGTTGACACATTGTATTGGCATTACACCAATACTAACTTGGTTTGCTGTATTTCCATCACTTGTTTATGAGACTATATAGGTTTGCTGGGCAGTGATGATGAATATGGTGGTGGGGGTGATGATGATTAACACTCCGTTAATCACAAAGTTGCACTTTTTGTGATTGGTTGAAAAAGAATTCTGGTTTTATTTGACACACACCATAAAACATGATTACAATTAAAAGATAAGGGTTCTGTATGGTAATTTCTTGAAAGAGAGTAAGGCATCTAAAATGAGATATTTTACTTACCTATAGCTACAATCAACTTGTACAACTCTCAGACATCTTCATTTAGACTAGAAATCACATCAGGCTTCAGAAGGTCCATTTTTTGAATGTCCACATTGGTTGAAATGTCCAGGCCACATTCATCATCATCCTGACTGTCGATGTGTGAAAGGTCCACAGAGGATGCTGTTGGACTCATGGGGGTGATAATGATCTCCGTTGTAGCTGCAGTTGTATGAAGCAACGCGGTGTTCTCTGTTGCTAGAGAGTCATCACAACCTTCCCAGGAGTCTAATCTTTCCTCACACGGTAGTGCCAATGGCGGTGATAATGATGACATTGCAACTAATGAGTGTGAGGAAAACAAATTTTCAAACATCTTTAATGATATACAGTACACTTAATTGAGAAAAATAATGCTTTATAAATAAATCAGCCTACTAGTAACAATAGCTGACATCTTCACTGTTTGCATCCTGCTGTGTATCATGAGACTGTAACCAGGAACAGATACAACATAAACACCAACACAGAAGGAATATGCAGTACACCCTACAGGAAAAAATAAAAATCATGACATACCTAAGAAGATAAGGGAGAACAAACTAAATCTAATAGCATTATCATGAATAGCTTCTATAACTATAGTATAACAGCAAACCCCAGGTGAAGGACAACACAAAAACACAGAATTTTATATTCAACAAGAGAATTAAAAACAATTCATTTTAATTTTAATTTCTACAATTTAAAAAGTATAAACATTCTTGCAACTTCCTCATGGTTGCACATATTATATGACTGTGATGAGTAGTACTAATATGGAACCTTATTAGGTCAGTTCTACAACCTGAAACATATTTAATGAGACTGCCTGCAGATGGTCCCATATGTGGACTGAAACATGTAAGGTAAAGATAAAGTTTTCCTTGTTCTTAACTTATAGAGCACTATGCCATGAAGGCAAATGGGTTAGGGGATGTATAGATCCACATTTTCTTGACCCCTGCACTAGATAGAGGTGAGTAGTCAGCTTCATGCTCCACCCGCTTTACCCCCGGGGAAAAAGGGGAGGTTGCGGGGACTGCAGAGCCAGTATGGACGATTTGGAGAGCAGAAAATTCTTGACCCTACCGGGCTAGTCGCTATACTGACTATGTTATCCTGTCTCCTGTGGACCAAAACATGCATCAACTACTAAGTAAAACCAATGTGAGCAGTTCGATTGGTTAATTTTTTTTATTTATTGGTGTTTTGATGACCAAATACCACCAATATTTATCATATCAAAACTAGTAGGGTTTTTATAATATCACTTATATATTTGGAAAAACTGAAACATGACCAGCACAGTACTTATAAACTGCATGGAGCCTTGAAGTTCAGTGCACCTGACTTGCATCTGGGATCTGCCAAGTTAAAATACTGGCCATGGTTTATTTTAATCTCCTGATGCACATTCTAGTACAGTGACATCTCAATATATAAACAAACAAAATATAAACTTTCAGTATAATGTAATTTGGATTTGGTATTATTATTTCACAGAGAAGGCTAAATATATTATCACTTCAAAATATGTAACAATTATAACATGATTTAAAAAAAAAAAACATGTTTCTGGCTCTAAGGCTCTTCAAAGGGCCTGAACTAGATCAGGGTCACACAAAGGACCCAGTAATTGTCTGTGTGCTTGGGGTGATGGAGGTTGTTTTGCTGAAGTCAATAAATACATATATAACTTCACACAAAATTTTGACTATAAAACATGCAAGGAAAAGACAGATCATTTGGGAGATCTGATGAGATAATATTAACATGAACCTCAGAAGAACAAATTATGAAGATGTGAACTAGACTGAATAGGCCCAATGGCAGTTCCAGTGGTAAGCTGTTTTATACATCATGATGATCCTTTGGGTTTTGTAAGAAGAGGACACTTATTGACCGGCTGAATTATATCAACATGTGGACCATGTACTATGCAGTGTGTTACTTGCTGAAACAAATGTTATCCACTTCTTTATGCTTAATCTTTCACACTTGTCGGATGGTGAAAAGCATCACTAAGTTTTAATTCAAATTGTGAGTTTGCATATGAATGGGTGATGTTATGACACTGATCAGAGTGTCCATGAGATATTGTAACTATGTATCCATTATGGCAGTTATTAGATTGAATGGTTTTTAAAACAGTGTGCAATAATGTGGATACAATCTTAATCTTTGAACCACCAGTATTTACAGAGAGTGAAGGTGAGAATTACATTGACTGACTATTCTCATGTCTGACACTTAAATTACATATCACCAGGGCCCGGATTTTGATGACCTGAAAATATTTAAAAAATGACCTAAAAAATGACCGAAAAAATCCAGAAAAATAGCCTAAAATATGACCCAAAAATGTAATATGCAAGACCCAGATTTTGATGACCTGAAAATATTAAAAAATGACCTAAAGGAGAAAGAGAAAGAACACTTCGCTTCCATATTATTCACATATGAAGAAAAATTCCTTAAAATGGCCAAAAATGACAAGAAATACCCTTAAAAGTCCAAAAATTTACCAAAAAATTACCCCCCAATGAAAAATTACCTTAAACCTAAAAATGTCAAAAAAAATGAGAAAAAAATTACCTATAAAATTTACATTTCTGTAACAGGAAGCTCATATCCGAGATTTATATATTTAAGAGCATCGCATAGGATACAAGGAAAAAAAGATGACATGTCATCAAAATCCTGGCCCTGCATATCACCATTCACAAATACATTTTATTTTTGCTGGTTCAGACTGACAACTACATCTGTCAAAACGTAACTCCATCTTGATTATAATTTTCTAAATATTTTCATTGTTGATCGATCTATGGAGCTGGTTTCCATGCCTCAACAGCGGGTATTTGTCTTTGAAGAGGTGCCAGCTCATGTCAGAACATTCAAATTCAATGGACTGTGATAATAAAAAATGGTTGGCATTGACAAAAAATTCACACAAACAGTCATGACATACGTCATGTCTGAATTTGTGACTTTAGTGTGGAAGTATGACTGTGGAACCTGAAACCAGGCAGTCTCTGCATTTGGTAAATATATCTAATTCATATATCATAAATGAAGTATAATTATGGCAGTGAGCATCCATGCCACACATTCCTGTAATAGTGTCATTCAGTTTAAAAAAGACGAAAATTTTAAAGCATATTTTTAACCTCCTCTTTCTCCAAAAGTAATAAAATTATTTAATTTCTAACACAGTCCCATCTTACTTAAAAATGTATTTATAAAAGATATTAATGTTGATGAGCAAATCAAGGATTAGTATTGAAAAACTAAAATTCAAACTTCTGACAAAAAATTAAGAGATTTGTTAATGTATAATATTTCCACAGACTGTTTAAAAAATGAAACACCTTAAAAATCACAATTCTTCTACTTGTTCTAGTCTTTACCAATACTATAAGGAAACTGTTGAGTTTAAATTAGCTACAGGGTGCTTCAAAAAGTTTTTATAAGAAACTCATCTCATTAAATGTTTTGATAAGTCTGTGATAGAAAACACAAATTTTCTTAATTCTACAGAGTTAAAAGTATGAAGATACTGATAGGGGTAGGTACAGGTATGAGATGGCCTAATCTGTGAAGGTAAGAAAAAAATGGTGTTGAATTATCTGTTGGGTTTATGTAGGTAGAAAAATGACACCATATGTGTATTACATTTTTCCAACACACAAATGAAATTTACTTATAACCTGCTGAAGTGAAGGTATGCATTAACATTTCATTCTACAAGAGCAATAAATATAAAGACAGCTTGCTACAGAAACCTGAATATACAGCTGCATATGTGTAAGTCCAGTTTACATTGTCAGTATTTCAAAAGCTAGTACTGAAATAATTTTGCACTGATCTCCACATAAATTATTATTAATGAATGCATTTCTAGTACTGGTCATACTTTGCAAACACTTCACTGAAACTAACACAAAAGGGCATTCAATAAATTCAACATGGTTTCTGCCAGAGTCAATATAAAAGAAACAAAGCTCAAAAGTAATTTAAAGTTAAACTGTACACTTCAAGCAACTGTAATGAGTTCAGAGGGCCTTGTGTAATGTATCCACATCATAATGGACAGTAACTTCAGTCCACATCAGACTGTTAATGAAAATATTATATTTATGTGAAATGAATACAAAATATGTAAGTCTTCAGGTTTTCACTAATCTTATTTAAATTCTTTGGTGATGATATCATGTTGTGATAGACTAAAATGTTGATATTTAGAAAATAGAGTCATTTACAGCTTCATGGTGCAATGGCTGAACAGTGGCCATGTGTATGGTTCCAGTTATTCAGAACTTTGGCAAAACATTCCATCTAAACACAATGTCACAACTTCAGAACGAAAACAAGTTGGGATGCAAAATGTTATGCTAAAACAATTATCTACAGGCTGGTGTAGTGTTCTTTCTCCAACGTTTTACCTATGACTATGACTAGCGGAGTGAATTTGAGAATGGAACATGGCAACATATCTCCTTGCTAAGCAGCAGTAAAAAGAGGAGATAACAAAACCTGAAACCCAGAAACATGTATGGTGGTGAAAGTGCTTTGCTTCTTTCATTAGTACCATAGCCTTCCCAGACGGAAAATGGCTTTATTGTTTAAATTTTAACTTACTTTTTTCTTGTCATATTACATTTTATGAATATTATTTACTTGCATGTTTGTGTTTCTGTATAAATTCAGCACACTAATATATGAACTTCCATATGCTCAGTGCCTTGAACAAAACTTTCTTACAGACATGTTATTTGCTGTAATTGGCTTACTTTCACCACCACTTAATTATGAGACATAAAACCATGTTCAATTTGAAGTTTAAAAATCTACAAGAACAATTTATAAAAAGATGACACTTGTCCACATAGCAATTATAAAACCAGTAGAGGTTAATAGTACATACATACAAATTTTCTGACATTTATATAAACATGCTGTGATACAATACAATATTATAGGAAACTTGTTACAACAGTCAGATGCAGTCATTGCAACAAACATTTCAATAGAAAGAATGGGGGCAAAGGGAAAGACAGACATAAGAGAGACATTTTCAAAAATGCTTCATATCATGAAATATGGAACATAAAAGATAAAAGAAAATCCTATGAACTTTGAACCCAGATTTCTCAGTTAGTAAGCATTTATGTATTTATACCTTCACATTGAAATTCATGTATTTATTATGAGTGCCTTACTTATAACTATAATTTACTGAAATCAAGTTATACAGAGTAAAGCAATCTGTTATTAATGCCATTTAATATATGATTCAT